ATGGTGGCATAGTGCATCAAATGTAGTTTTGTAAAAAAGAAGCAACATCAGAAATAATACAATAACATTTAAAAACCAAATAAGTACATAACAGCTATATGATAAGGAAGTGCAATTCAAACTTTTAAACTTATTTTGCTAATAAATTATAACAAGATTACAATTGGTTTTAAAAACTAAGTAAAGGCCTATATTGACTTTTTCAAAATTTTTAAATGATTAAACCCTCTGCACGATTTTTAAAAATATTTAAATGATTGATTCCAATAATCAAAACTAAGATAACTAAAATTGTAAATTTTAAAATTTAAACTGCCTTGAAGATATATTAAAACTAGACAATTTTCGAAACTAAAATCAAATCCAACTACATTGTTGCCCATTTGGTGAAAGAGTTCGCCAAGTGGTCCGGCAACGCCAAAGTGATCCCCAACCATGTGGGATCATTGTTTTGTTGTATGGGTACGGTGCGTATCTGTGTTTATATCGCACACTGCGATGCGATAATTCTGAATTATTAGAAGAAAAAAAGATCGGCGAAAGCCACGCGGAGATAATCTAATCGGAACACTTGAGGGTCGAGAACAACAATAGCAATGCCGATTTTTCAAGGCTACGCCCCCGAAAAAATAGGGATTCTGGCGTTCAGTTAAAATGCGTTAAATGCGTATTTATGTGTCAATATGCTGATATGTACATATACATACATATGTAATTTTGGCATTTACTTAGTACTTACAACAGTGCACACTCGCAACAATGAACTAATATAAATTATTTTTATTATAAAATCCTGTGCTTAACTAAGTAATATGAATTGTGGACTGTATTTGAAAGAGACTTTTTGAAATTTGATTTGTTTAGCCTAAAGCAAATATTTAAAGAATAATATAATATATAAAGTTAACATATTCTGGTTTTTACTTTTACAGCGTTTACTGTATTTTTTAAAAAATTAGAAAACATAAACATCTACACCTAAAACAAAATTGAATAGCAGAAACCACATCATTTTTTCTAAGCTCCATGAAGCTCAAACTAAAAATAATTTGTTTTTAGAATTACAGATAAAAAAAAACCTTGAAAATTGAGGCATTTTAAACAGTTCAAGTATCAACTCCTGTTAACATAAGCTGTATTTGTTTATTCGGACATTATCATCGACTTGTACAAAAAAAAAAAAAAAAAAAATACAAACCGAACCATCGTCATAAAAGTTATTAACATAAATGCTCATTTTAGGATATTTGGAAATTCAAGATAGATGGCGCCACTTAAAACCCGTGGTTTTCTTGGGGCATATGTATGTATTTTGAAGTAAAGGGAAGGGTATCTTATAGAGTTAATTTTTTGTTTTTTTACTGTGCGTGACATATTTAGAGTCGAACTCACCTTCTGTTCTCCAGATGTAGCGCGTGAGCGTCCAGGGCGTGCGCATGTCCTCCGGATGGGCCGGCTCCACGAAGTGCTTCATCTCGCGCAGCGCCTGCAGTTTGCACTTGATCAGTTCGGTGGGACAGAGGGTTAGCGTGGAGAAGCAGGCGGCCAAGGAGCCGGCACAGGCGTTTTCCACGGTGGTCAGCTCGCTGGGCGTCTCCTTGCCGACGAAGAAGGAGACGAATTTCTGACAGCCGCCGTAGGCAGCGAACAGTACGGAGTTCTCCGCCACGTTGGCGAATACGGCCGGAACGGATCCGGCGTATAGGCCGCGCATGAAGCCATCCTTGCGGTATGTGCTCACGAAACAGTCCCACATGCCGCGATAGACCTCCGGGAAGGTCTGCAGCTTGACCTTGACCGTGTCAAGGGGCTGGGAGACATAGACCTGGGCGGCACCCCCAATGGAGCCCGCTAGAAAGTCGATCAGCCCCTCGACGAAGTTGATGTTGTTGCCGGTACCGCCGCCGTGCATGTCTAGGCGTCGAACGAAGCGCAGGAATCCGCCGACCACGTAGAGCAGACCGTCGCGAACGGCCCTCAGCGTCGATTTCACACTGATCGGCCTGCTCAGCCAAGTGTTGCCTTTTTTCCGCTCGCCGTCGCCGGCCTCCTCGTCGTCCCCTTGCCCCTCCTGCGGAGGCGGTACATTATTGATAGGGTTGTCAGCGTTTGCTCACACATCGTTTGCGATACGACGACGACGACGACGATGTGTTCCCAATTTCACTTCGGGAAATTGGGAGCACAGATCTTGCACTGGCAGAAAACATAGTGACCACCAGGTACATATTTTATACTCAATTTAAATATATTTCACTCATTTCCGGTTTTAAGTTATTTTAATAGTGGAAATACTAAAGTTTTTTTTAAATATTTAATTTGATTATTTTCGGAATCGATTTTAATATCTCAATACTAATATCTATTCAAAATTAAACGTTTTTAAATCCAAATGGAACCAATAATTTCCACATTATTTCAAATATTTAAATATCAGGCAAATTAATGTGCGTTGTATTATTATACATTATTTTATATTTAACTGAAATATAAAATATAAAATATTTATTTATACTAAGTCATTTGTTTATCAGTGCAAGTTTTTTAAAAATTTGTGTGAAAATTCCAATTAATATAACTGAAAAATATGGTAAGATTCTAATCGTAATTTAAAATGTACTTGTGTTTGGAAATAGTTTTGTTTAGCAAACAATAATGTTGTAAAATCAAGACTTAAATAGTCAATAAACTAACAATAAACTAAATAACTTTATCATACAATTGTTACTAAAGTTGAAGTAAATTAATATGCCTGATATATAATTTCGACAGTTTCATTGAACCGAAAATATAGATTTAAAAATTCCGACAACTAATCATGAATGTTTCATTTAATCAATGGTCGAATTCAGCAGAACAACATGATCACTGATCACTGATGGATTTCATATGATAGTTCTGCTGCACGCGTATGATCACTGATCATGTAAACATTGATAAGAATACACAAAAAATGAGAATGTAAGCAAACAAAAAAAAATAAAAAACAAAAAATACAAGCAAGGATTAATAAATGTTGAGCAGATTCATTAGTTATCAGTGATCATGTTGTTCTACTGAATACGGAAACTATCGATAACTTTTCATCGTTTTCGACAACTCTACCTGCAGGGCGCGTTCGTAGGCCTCGATGATTTCATCTGGTGTCATTATCAGCACGCTGCTGCCCGCTTGACTGCTGCCGATTCGCGGGGGTGGTGGGGGCATGGGCGGCATGGACGGATTGGGGGCGGTTCCGATTCATAGTCGTTGGGCGGCGATTCGGGTGGATCTTCGGTCGGTTCCTTCGGCCGCCGTTGCTTGATCGCTTGCGGGGTGAGGGGGTTTTGAAGCGGTACGGCCTCGGCCGATTGCTGCGGTCCGCTCGCGCAATCATTATCGTTGTTCTTGGGCGCTCCAGCGCTGGTGGCGTCCCGCTCGCACTCGCGCATGTGTGCCGGGTGATGGTGGATGGTGGTTGGGGGAATGGGGGATTGGGGGGTGGCGTTGCTCTTGCTATCCCTTTCTAACCCCAAGGGGGTAAAACGAGAATTTTGTATTTGTGTGTTTAGCGACTGTTAATGAAAAGGCAGGTGGTTTTTGATTTCCTTTCAAATAATTGTTCGATTTACGGTTTATTAATAATCGATAATTTGATTACGCCATATGCATATATATAGGTGTATACATATCATGTGGATCAGCGATCTCACTCCCCTTATCTCTCTCTGTATTCATGTGTGTGTGTCTGTGTGTGTGTGTGTGGACTTGTGTTTCGCTTTAATTTTTATTATCATGGGTTTTTATTGTTATTATTTTTTGGTATGTGGTGTATATATCTCGTTTCATTATGCGGTATTTCCTCTCATTTATCGCCTTTCAGCGCTCTTCTTATATCAATTAAATAATTTACATTAAATCATAACTTAGTTATACAAATACCATTTAGTACAGTTATGGGTAGTTTATATCGATATATATATATATAGCCCCTATACCCTATACTGGATACGCATTAATTTATAATTTAATTTAATAGTACAAAAAAAAGACTTCGAAGTTTCGAACTCATTCCGTGTGTTTAAGTGTTAAGTGTTAAGATGCTTGAGCTAAGTTCCTGATCGGTCGCGTATGTCTATATGTCTATATCTGCTTTACATACAATATATAGTGTAGTGTGCATCGTGTTGTGCCTTTAGATTTGTATTTGCATTGGATCGCTGAGTTTTTCCTTACGCAGATTTTGGATTTGGGGAAAGCCGAAGACGAAGAAGAAGGGGATTGGATTATAGGAAAGCCGAATTTTTGAGAATTTCCGTCCTCTTCTAACACTTTGTACTCGTTTATATGCATTTTATTTTCACTTGGTGTAAAAATATTATTATCAACATCGCTTCCTATATCGTTTACCTTTTTCTATCCAAACTCAGCGGCGAATTTGCGTTTAAAAAAATGATCGCATCAGGCTTATGTTATTTATCGTTCTCTAAGTTTTTTGTCGCATTCATATCTGTGTTTTTCGTATATATATAGATATACTATATATACTATATATATATATATTTATTATAATTATGCTTCCTATACAACTATACATATTTATTATTAATGTGTACAAATACAAAATCGGCTTGGCAGCCATCGAATGTCAGGGAAGCAAATCAAAATTTACACATAGACAATTGGCACACTTTTCGAAATTAAAATTCGAGTGGTTTTGGGTCATTTTAATACAGTTTCAGAGGATTCAGTAAAACGTTTGAAATTCAGAGATTTTTTGACTTGACAGGTATTTTCCTAAAAAATTAGAGTACCTACATTTTTCCAAGGAATAGCAGGTCAAGGTAAAATTGTTTAAATATGAATGAATTTAACTGAGTGAATGATCTTTATAAGGCATCTTCAATTTGACTAAAATCTTAAATTCTATCAATGTTAATACGCTTTTCATTTAATTATTGTGTGTAAATTTAAAGAAAACTAATTAAAGTTTTTTTTAAAAATATTTTATTAAATAAAGAGAATCCAAATCTTTATAAAATATTATTTAAATCAAATAATATATTAATAAGTGAGTTTCATTTTTTAAAATGTTTAGTGGTAGTGGTACAGTGATTTATCGAATCCATTTTTACTTTTATATATTACTTAGTATCAAAAAAGAATTGTTTGGAAAATGCATTCTTGGAATAAGACGTTTAAAAACACTCTTCTCAAAATTTCCTTTGAAGAAATTCTTCTTTAAATTGATATCTTTAAAATAGCTTTACCGATCCCTTTTCGCCTTTTTGTACATAATACGAGCTCGACATTTTTTCAAAGGAAGTATGGAAACAATTCTCTAAATTGGCACACTATCAAGTCAAAATTCTATAAAAAAAATTCCTTATTAACTTGAAATCATTAAATTAGCTTATAAAAGTTTATTTTTTACACAGCATCAAGTGGAAGTTCATGGGGAAATGCATTAACTAAAAATGAGGTTTCTTCTTAAGCTTTATGTCCTAAAACTTGCCTCCTCCAATACCATTTTTTTCACATACTATCAAGGGGAAATGAACTGAATTTTGAGGGGGTTCCGAGGAGACGTAACCTTAAGCTAAACTACTCGATTGCCTCTATTCGAATCCCACAAAGTGCACTTTATCCCGGATAACTCCGCCCTCCTCGAGGCCTCCACCAATTAGTAGTAGGCGGGGAAGGGATGGTAGTTCGACGGATTGGAGGCATGATGATTGGCCGACGGCAGGACGGGCGGTGGCCTCACACCCGGATGATAATTGCTGGAGGCCACCTGATGGTAGGCCCCAAAACTGCGGGCCATGTGTCGATTCTGGGCCACCGCCGCCGCCGATTCGCCAAGAAGGCGCGACTGATCGGCCGTGCCCAGCAGTCGGTTATTCTGCTCCATCAGCAGATGGGCCGTCGGATCGACCAGGAGGCGATGCTGATCGGCCGCCGCATTCGAGGCGGCCAAAATGCGATGCTGCTCCACCGTCGACAGCAGGCGATGGTGCTCCAGACTCTCGCGGCTCTGGTGCTGCATCTGTGTGGAGAGGAACGAGCGGTTGTTGCCCACGGCGGCCATGTTCGCCGTATTGGGGCCGGTGAGGTCCAGCGAGGCCATGCGCAGCATGTCATGGTGGGTTGGATGGTTGTACGGCAGCTGCGGCGGCGACGACACCACATAGTTGGCGGTGCGGCTGAGGTCCACCGAGGTGGTCTGGTCATGCTCCTGCTCGCCCAGCTGCTCGCTCAGCATGCTGTGCATGGCGGCCGCCGACTGCTGGTGCTGCTGCATGGCATGGTGCTGGTGTCCATGCTCCTGCTGGTGCACCACCGACGCCGCTCCCGCTCCTCCACCGCCGCCACCGCCGCCGCCTCCGCCTCCTCCGCCGCCGCCGCCGCCGCCACCACCACCGACCACTGAGCCACCCGCTTGCTGGTTTTGCTGCTCCCGATCGGAGAGAATGTCGTAGATGTGATGGTGATAGCGACTGCTCGGCAGCTGGAAGTTGTGATGATAGTTGCTACTGGCCGCATTCGACCTGGAGCTCATGTCCAGGCCCTGCAGGTCGGAGAGGTCGCTGGCCGCCGCTGCTGCCGCCGCTGCCGCGCTTACCGCCGCCGAATTGATGCCGTTACCGCCGCCACCGCCACCGCCGCTGCCCGCCTGGCGGTACTCCGCCGGCGAGTCCAGTTCCTGGCTGTTGTACTTCAGATTGCTGGCCATGCTCTCGTACTTGGAGTACATCAGGTCGATCTGCGACTGCGGGAACTTCATTCGCATGTCCTGGCCGGCGCTGCTGCAATCAAATCGAAGCAAGGGTACAAAGTTAGAAGGGGTTTGAAAACAGTTCTTTAAACCCTTATAATAATTTGTAAAAATTAAAATAAAATTCAAACAAATTCTATAAAACCTATGATTTTCAGCGAAAATAATTAAATAAACTATTAAATGAACTAGTATTTTGAAATAAAATGAAAGCCAACAAATCAAACGAAAGAAAACAAGAAACGGACCTGGTTATATTAAGTATACGCCTAGGGGTCATGTCTAAGTCACAATCGAATTAAAATAAATATAAATTGCATTTAAAATAAAAAAAGAAAGCACCAAAAATTGAAAAAAAAAAGGATAAGCGACATGGCCAGCTGGATCGTGGGATCATCACCTGTTCTGGGGCATGATGCTGTTCTCCTCGTCGCTGGACATCTGGTTGTGACGCGAGATGTTCTGCCGCTGGCGCTCCTGGTGCTCCTGCTCCTGGACCGCCCGCTTGTGGCGCATCATGTCGCCGTTGAAGTTGTAGCGCGGGATGCTCGGCGAGGAGGCGGGCGAGATGAGCTCGTGCTCCGGATAGGTGCTGCCCACGCTGGAGGCGTTCCTCCGCTGCGGCTGCAAGGCGGGCAGTGGCGACGAGGCGGACATGCTGTTGGCCCCGCCCCCTCCGGCAGCACCGCCCCCTCCACCGCCGCTGGAGCTGCCCGCCGGCGTGCTAACCGAACCGGGACCGCCACCACCGTTGCCGGCCCCAAACATTCCGCCGTAATCGCGTCCCGGCGAAATGGGCGGCGGCGAGGGCGGTGTGCGATGGTGCGACGAGGAGAAGCCATCGGAATCCGGGTGCTGGGGACGCGGCGTACTGCCCGCATCCACGTCCACGTCGTTCTGGTTCTGATTGCTCTGCGGATTCGTGGGCGTCGAGGCGCTCGGCGAAATATTGCAGGCGCCCTGGAACATCGGCAGCGGTGGTATCTGCATCGGGAAGCTGCCCAGATTCTTCATCATCTTCAGCTCGTTCTCTAGGTTGTCCATGGCCCCGCCGATGCCCGTTCCGTTGGCCCCGCCCGAAGATCCGCCGCTGCTACCACCGCCTCCTCCGCCACCGCCACCGCCTCCTCCGCCGCCGCTTCCTCCTCCTCCTCCGCCGCCAGCCGATCCGCCCGCACTGCCCGCTCCGAAACGCTGCGACTCGGGATCCACATGGGCACTCATCGGACTGTCGCTGTTTATGTGGTTATCGGTGGGAACCTGCCGGATGATACGAATGTGTTTTAGCATGTCTTATTTTGGAAATTTGCAATATTTAGTTCTTTGGTAAGAAAAAAGCAAAAGCAGCTAATCTCTAAATTTAAGTACATTGATGCTTAACTTAAAATCAAAAAGGTTGGTTCTGTTTGTACTTAAATCAAGAACAGGTTGCTCTCAAATCCATAAACACCTTAAAAAATACTTGTTTCAAGTACCAAACATTTATAAAATTAGAGTACAATTCTTAAAACAAATGAGATTGAAGAAAGATTAAAAAAAGTGGTAGGAACTACTGTTAAAAAAAATGGGAAAGTAAAAATAAATATCTGACTATTCAAAATTGTATATTAAATATTTAAATTAATATGAACTATTTAAAATCGTATACTTTCCAAATTAATATAATATTTTAGTGTAAAAGTGTAGTGTAAATATTCATAATATTAAATAAAATAAATATCTGACTATTTAATTCAACATTTGTATTTATATTGAAATAAATAGTCAAATATTTATTAAGGTTTTTCTGCTATGACACCTCAATTAAGTCCCTCGAGTTTTAATTAGTTAATGTTCTAACTAATTCCCAAGCATTTTCTTTAAGTGTAAATGGGTATTATATTAAATGCTAAATTGTGCTCACCTTGAGGTCGCTGCTCTCGCTGTCAATCATATTGCCAACGGAGTTGAGGGCCGCCTCCACGAGCATACTGGCCGATGAGGAGCCGCCGCCCACACCGCCCACGCCGCCCACTCCGCCGCCCACACGGGCGTTGGCATTGTTGTAGAAGGAGCTCATGAAGGACTGCGAGTGGGCCAGCGAGTTCATCTGCATTTGGGGCTCGTCGCCGCCGCCGGTCACCGTGCCGCCCGTGGCCGGACCCGTGGGCGTCTGCCCGCCGCTGCCGCCGCCGCCGCCATCGCCGCCGCTGCCACTCCCACCGCTGCCGTAGTGCGACATGGCCGCGGCTGCGGCGGCGGCAGCAGCGGCGGCGGCGGCAGCGGCATTGTTGTTCGACTCCACGACGTCCAAAAACGAGCTGTTCTCGTCCTCCTCGCGACTGTGGGCGCTGTGCTGCTGCTGATGCTGCTGATGCGGCTGGTGGGCGTGTGCGTGGGCGTGGGCGTGCGCATGGGCGTGGGCATGGGCATGAGCATGGGCATTGGCGTGGGCATGGGCATGGGCGTGGCTGGCGCTGGCACTGCTCATCAAGCGGGCCAAAAAATCGCGGTTCTGACCCAACAGCTTGCTGTGCTCGTCCACGGCGCTCGGCGGCACGGCGAATCCCAAATCCGGGACTGGACCACCACCGCCGGCACCGCCGCCGGAGAGCTGGCCGCAGCTGGCCCCATCGCCGGGAACCGCACCCTCCCCGCCGCCGGCGCCACCGCCGCCCACATCGCTGGAGTCCTGCACCTCCTGGATCCACTTCTTGCTGCCCTTGCTGACCACCAGATTCTGGCCGAGAGCGGCATTCATGGCCGCTGCGTGACGGTAGTCCTGCTGCCCCGCCCCCTGGGGCCCGGAGGCGGCGGAGGGATGCTGGAGGGGGTGGGCGAGCGAATGCGAGTGGGCGTGGTGCGGGTGAGCGTGCGCATGGACGTGCGAATGATGCGCCTGATGGGCATGGACATGCGGGTGGTGTTGCACCGCCGTACCACCACCACCGCCGCCGGTGTCGTCTTCGTCCTCGTCATCGTCCTCCTCCTCGTCCATGCCCACGCCCACACCCACGCCCATGTGACCCATCATGTGGCCCAGCTTGGCCGGATCCTCGCCAGCTCCGGCCATGGCCGAAACGGCCGCCGCTGCGGCCACCACCTGTTGCACCTGCTGCTGGGCACTCAGCCGCTGGGCGGTGGTGGTCAGGAAGGACTCCACCAGGCTGAGCTGGGCGTTCTGCTTGCGACGCACCTGCTCCAGGCGGGCATTCTCCACCTCCTCGTCGTCGGGATCGCCGTGCAGCTGTTGCTGTTGCTGCTGCTGTTGTTGCTGCTGCTGCTGCTGCTGTTGCTGTTGCTGCTGTTGCTGCTGCTGGTGGGGCAGGGTGTGGGCGTGCAGCTGGTGGGGATGGTACTGCGGGTGCTGCTGCTGCGGATCGTGATGCAGCTGTTGGTGTTGCTGGTGGAGGGCGTGTTGCTGCTGGACATGTTGCTGCTGCTGGGCGTGCTGCTGCTGCTGCTGTTGTTGCTGCTGCTGCAGCTGCTGTTGGGCATGTTGCAGTTGCTGGGCATGCTGCTGGGCATGCTGCTGCTGCTGCTGTTGCTGCTGCTGCTGTTGCTGCAGTTGTTGCTGCTGCTGGTGCTGCTGCTGCTGCTGCTGTTGCTGGTGGCTGAGGTGTTGCTGCTGGGCCGAAGCATTTGGCTCCTTCTTGCGCTTCCGCTTGCGACCGCCGCCCACCGAAGAGGCGCCACCGACACCGGAAACGGAAAGCGAAGCCGCCGACGAAGGGACCTTGTCCGTTCCAAAGATGCTGGAGATCTTGGAGCTGAGCAGCGATAGATTGGGCTCGTTGCGGCAGAGATCCTTGATCGACTTGCCGCTCTTCTTGATCGCCTCGAACAGATTGTCGTCGCTGAACTCCGCGTCGCTCTGCAGCGAACCGCTCAGCATAGAGCTCTGGTCCTCGAGACTCTTGCGCCGCCGCCGCGGTGCTTGCTCTGTGAACGAGGAGGAGAGGGGGGAGGCGACGGCCGCATTAGGGCGGGGCTGGGGCTGCGGAGCCGTCGCCGTCTGCTGTTGCTGTTGCTTACCCAGAAAGTCCACCTTCATGCCGCCCGAGTACGCATCGAAGGTGTAGGCCACGCTCCGCTCGATCTTGGGCATCTGCTCCTGGGTGTAGTTGTGCACCTTCTTGTAGTGGAACTGCAGGCACTGCTTGGTGGTGAAGGCCGCATTGCACTCCGGCTCGGCGCACCTGTAATTCCCATCCAAATGGGTTACCAAATACTGGGGGGGGGTTGCATCTCTAATAGAGCCCTGCACGGCTATACTCAAGGTGGTGGGTCCCTTTTTGGCAAAACAAGTTCCCAAGTTTAAGGAATAGTGAACTAAACATGTCACAAAAAATAAATGTTTCAAATAAGTTAGCAAAAGTAAGCTAAAAAATGACTCATTTTAGTTTTTTTACAAAAATTATATGGTAAACTCATTTTTAAGGCCATGTTTAGTCCATTATTACTTGAATTTATTTCTGAAATTAAATTATTTCTGGATGCAGCTCAAATAAATCAGATCACAACATGTTTCGATTTAAAAAGCTCAGATTCGTATAAATATAAATCTCAAAGAACCATTATTTGTGATCTTTTTGAGTAAAATCTGGATTTAAAATTGTTATTTTACTTATAAAACATGGGATCAAAAACAGAATAATAAATGTAAATCAATTTCTTGATAGTGATTTTTACATTTGAATACAATTCGATTCGATTCCAAGCGAACTTTAAGTGTGTAAAATGTGTACTATATTTTTCATTTGATGAAAAAGGTTTATATTTCAAAGTTTGCTTGAAGTCAAACAGTTAAAAATACGGTTTTTCATTAACATTATATTCACTTTCTATAATTGACATCTTAATTTTCTCTCTTTAAAATAATATTCTTCAGATCATTAATAGTTTCCTCTTGATTCAATTCTGTTTGATCGTTAATTCTTTAGCTAATGGAAGTCCAGTTTAAATTTAGAGACTGGGCTTATGGCTTCTTAGGAACTTATACTATAGGGTGATTTTTTATTTGGGTAGATTTTGTGTTGTTTGCCTGATATTTGTACTGTCTGCAATAGAGTTAGATTAAACTGTTTGTTTTGTTGTTGTGAGCTACTCGAGCTGAGCTGTTTTAAACGAGTTAATGGAATCATAGCTCATATGACTCCAAAGTACATATAAATCGATTTAAATCTCGTGCAGGGCTCTTTATCTCTCTAATAAAGTGAATACCCACTTGAACGGCCGAACGCCCGAGTGCGTCAGCATGTGGATCTTGAGATTGCTGCGGTTCTGGAAGAGTTTCTGGCACCGCGGACAGCTCACCACCGTCGAGTTGCGGCTGTGCACCTCCTTCGAGTGGCGTTGCAGTGCCGCTCGCGATCCTAGAAGTTTTGAACATAATTTACACTGAAAATCTCGTAAAACTTCAGCCATATCTAAAATGAAATTGTATGAAGAAAATGAAATTTCGGATTGTGGTGATTTTGAAAGAACAACTTAGTGATAATCCATAACCAGAAACCAGAAACCAGAACCAACCCAACAACGAACGAACGAACCAACGAACCAACGAACGAACAACGAACATAAATCAAAAGCCGAATCACTTAAGGCACAAATCACAAGATCATCGGTTGGGGATTTTGTCTTGGATTTGGATTTGGGTTGGGGAATTAGGAGTTACTCTAAGAACCAATCACCGATAAACCAAAGCAAATCATTCACTAAAAGCGGTTACTAAATGCAGGCTACTACATCTGTTCTATTACTCAATATGCACTGTGACTGAAGGACTGATATATTTTAAAGCAATGGTTTTTTGTGACTAAATCTCTTGCAAGAACTAATATTATATTTTAAATCTGTTAATTGCTTTACGAAATCAATTACACATTAAAATATACACTTTGAACTACTGAAATTCCGTTCATTTGTGACAAAATTGCTTCTTACTTGTAAAATAACAAATTATATTTGAAAAGTGAAAAAGTATTTAGCAGGAAAATTTGTCATTTGTTAACGTACTCGAAACTGTTTCTGCTACTTAAAAGTAAGCAAGTCTGCGACTTAGAAAAATCATAATTATTTAAATTGCAATCTTGATTTGAAATGTCGTTTAACATTATTTTTAAAGAAGCTGAACTTATTTTTGCTAGTATTAACCAACCAACCCCAAAAAGTAAAAGTTAACCCTTATTAATCAACTAGAACCTAATATAATGCAAAACTTTTAGTCACTTCAGTGCGGATCTTAAAGTGTGCATGTCATTCGGTATTTTTTCTATAATGAACAATAGCATATACAAACAGAAGGCAAACTCCAAGAAACCAACAGAGGATCAGTAAAGTATACTTGTAAACCAATTTAGGCGATGTACAACTCAAAATATTGGCAACTAAAAAGAGATGAGCGACGGCAGATGCTTTTGGTGTTACATATATCGCGGGTGTTGGTGTGATGGTGATTTGAAATGTGGTGGCTTAAATATTACAGCTTATTTTACAGCTAAGCGACTCGTTACGATATTTGTTTATAAGACAGTATTGGCATGGGTTGTGTAAATCTATAAATTTGGTTAGTGTGTCGGTTTAAGGTCACAGTTGCCAGTCAAACATATGTTGTCCTCATAAAAACTAAGTACACAATTTATTTATTTTAAAAATATTGTTATTTTATTCAAACAGAAATCAAAAAGATTGTCTTCAAATATAAAAAGAAAACCATTAATATCGTATGCAATAAAAACAAATAAATGATAATAACTTTTAAGCTATTTGTAGCTGCAAAATTACTTTATTTTGGCGGTCCAATTTATAATGCATCTCAAAACATAAATTTAGCACATAAAAAGCATCTTATTTGCTATAAATATAAAATAAAATATTATTAAAAAGACAATTTATAAATTTTACAATTGAGCAAAGAAAGAATTTTATGTTTTAAAAAATAAAATAATAATAACATTTGAAAATATAAAATAATATAAAATAATATAAAATATTAATATTTAATAATTTAATAGCTGATTTTCTTCTTTGCTAAATGGAATTTTGAAACAAAATAAAGAAATCTTGTGGCAACTGTGACCTTGATTAGATATTGATATAAAGTCATATACAAATCGTTTGGTTTATGTAAAAGCAGTTTGGACGACGTGCGTCGCTATACGATATACGATATACATACACTATACACTATACACTATACATTATACACTATACATTATACAGTTTACACTATACACTATACACGAGCTTACGACATACGACAATGTGGCAGTCAGCTGGCCTACGATGCGGCTACGTTATGTTACGTTAAATTACGCATACGCATGGGTGTACGATCACAGTTACGGTCTAGTGTTTTGGATTTGGGATCCCGATCCCGCGTGCGTTGCGTTGCATTACGCTGGGCACTTACCGCTGTGCATGCGCTTGATGTGCGCCTTCAGCTTCTGCGGCTGGCAGAACTTTCGGCCACAAAAATCGCAGACCGGTCGCGATCGATTCGGATTCGATGCGCAACCGTAGGTGCGGTGCATCTCCAGGTAGTTGAGCCGCAGGAAGAACTTGCTGCAGAACTGGCACTGGTAGGCCCCCTTGCCGTCGTGCTTCTCCGCCGCATGCTTCATGATGTTGTCCTTGCCGAGGACAGGTTCGCCGCACACCTTGCAGTGGTACTTGCGGATGGTCAGGCTCATCGAGGGATCGTGGAAGACGGAGCAGTGGGTGCGGTAGTACAGGGGGTGCTCGAACTTCAGGTTGCAGCCGCCGCAGTCTGTGTGGATGGGAGAAAAGGACGTTATTCTATAGATCTTAAAAGTCGAAGCACAAACAAAAGGGTTTTGGTGGTCAGTCGATGGTGCTCTGTAATAATATCGATTGGGGGTCTCATTCCTAAGAGTAATAATAATATTTGTTTCTTTTTCATATTGAAAACAAAAATATTTTAAGTCCAAACGCAAATTCTTTAGGTCCGCCTTGTACAGTTAGCCCTTTACACGCAATGAATGAATGAATAAATTATATATGAATTATATAAATGAAAAGTTTTTTGATCGATTTGACCAGCAAATGGAAAAATTGCTATCGGCAATAAAAATAAATTGAATAATTATATCAAGAACTTTTTTGTAAATAAAGAAAACTTGATATGAATTCTTACTTGTAGAATTCGGTAAAAGTCAGCTGGTAAATGCTTAAATTTATTTAATCTCAATATTTAAAATTTTAGTTTGCTTAGCTCCTGGCTTAAAGCCGTATATTTCATAAGAAAAATAAAAAAATAAAGGCACAAAATAGACCAACAAAATTACACAAATTGCAGCCAACTTAGCTGTCTATTCAAAAGGCAACGCCGGACGTAAACGTAAACTATTGAAATTCAATTCTCCTACCCCTTTGAAAGTCATAAATTGTTTTTGTCTGAACTCAGCTGTGTTGCTAATTTGCTTTTCTGTTCGCTTTGGCGATATTAAAAGTGCTTATAATCAGCTTAAATAATAATTCCGGTGGCAGAGTTGCCAGACATGCATTGACATGACATGACATTGATCTGCATCGCATAAACAGGCACTATTTTGATTTCATGTATTAAAGAGTTCAAGAAATCAATATATAATATGTATGTATGTATATGTATACTCACTCGTTTTCTCGGTGTGCTTCTTGCGCCACATGGTGTTGCAGTCGTCGCTCCAGTAGAGGAGCTCCATGCCGTTGCGTAGGTCGCGGCAGCTGACGAAGTAGGCCTGCCGATCGATGGAGACGAGATTGACGTTGCGGTCCTCGTAGCTGGGCGCTGGGCGAACAAATCGGAGCCAATTGGAGGCATTGGGGTTGTCGCAGCACAGCAGATACGACTTGTCCGCCCCGGCCTCGCACATCTCGAAGATCCACTTCATGTCGCTGCCCTCGCGCACTTCGCCGGTCTGGACGGGCTGCCCGATGAGCGGTCCCAGTTTGGTATAGGCCCTCACCTCGGTGCGCGCAAAGACGCCGGTCACATTGGGCTCCACGTTGTGCAGCTCGAATTCGGCGGGCACCGACGCCTCGGCGAACGTGATCAGCGGCTTGGTCTCCAGCTCCGACAGTTGCGACGACTCGTCCATGTCCATATCCATGTCCATGTCCTCCATGTCCTCCATGTCATCGTCCTCGTGCCGCTGCCGACCGCTGGCCCTCTTCGCCTGCCGCTGGGCATCGGCCTTCAGCTTGGCCAGCGCCTCCAAATTGCGCCGCTCGATCCACTCGCCCAGATCGACGGCGTCCGTCACATTACCGCACGCGTTGCGCAGCGGACACAGCTTGTGGTCGTGGGCAATGGAGCATTCGCGGCAGGACTGCTGCGACCGGAAGGCAATGTCATGCTCGTCCTCCTCCTCCACGAAATTCTGCTCCATCTTCATTTCGCGGGCCAGCGCCTCCTCGTCCAGTTCCTCGTCCTCGTCGTCGTCCTCCTCGTTGCCCGCACCACCGCCCGGCTCGTCGTCGTGCTCGTCGTAGGAGTTGGGCGGCATCATGGCCGCCGCTGCTGCTGCTGCTGCTGCCGCTGCCGCCGCCGCCGCTTTGGCCGCCTGAGACTTTTTGCCGCCGTGCGACTTGGAGCGCACATGGAAGTTGCCGGCCTGGCCATTGCTGGCCGGGATGCCCAGTCCATCGACAGTGTCGTTGGCAGGCAGGACGGGCAGGAGGTGCGAATGCTGCTGATGCTGCTGATGCTGATGGTGATGGTCTTCGTCCTCGTCCTCATCCTCACTGCCATTGGCGGCGGCTGCCACTGCGGCTGCCGCCGCCGCTGCCGCTGCTGCTGCAGCTGCTTTCTTGAGGCACAGGGCATTGGGCAGGGAGGAGGACTCCTTGCTGTTGGCCTCCAGTTCGCTCTTGATCTTCTCGGCGATGCGACAGTCGAGCACCTCCGGCAGGGCGGAGGAAGCGGCCGCCGCAGCTGCCGCCGCAGCACTGGCCTTCAAGGCCGCCGTTGCCGCCTTGGCCTCCTGCTTCTTGGACTTGGCATAGGCAAAGCCACCAGCGGAACCCGATCCTGATCCTGATCCTGCACCTGCTCCCTTGCCCTTGCCCAATGCAAAGCCATTCAATGCCTCCGAGGTGAACTGCACACGTTTCTTGTAACGCTTGCGCTGCGGTGGCGTGGGCGTGGCCATGGGCAGAGAACCGGCCGAGGCGGAGTCGCCGTTGCCGTTTCCGCTCGCACTGCCGTTTCCGTTTCCGGTGGCATTGCCATTGATCGAGGATTCGGGCGGGGCGGCAAAGTCCTTGGCGCTGAGATTCGGCTCCAGCTTGAAGTTGCCATCGAAACCTTTGGTGGGCGTGTGCGCAGGAGAGGGCGGGGGCAGGCTGGAAATGGAAGTGGAAATGGAAATGGATATATGAGATATATTACAAGAAAAACATTTACCAAATATTATTTAGTTAAGTCTAAAAAACAACTATCATCAATTATCAGTAAGAAACTTTTGTACTATTGTTGTTTATTGTCTATTTTGTTATACTTAGCTGTACTGTACTGTACTGTTTTGTTTCGTACTGTTCTGTACTGTAATGTTCCTTAGAAATCACGGATTAAACATGTTCTTAACTATTATGGTTTCATATAAATTTAAGAAAGCAAGACATAAAAAATTAAGGCCCAAGGAAAGACATTAATATATTTTAGACAACGATAAGTGAATTATTCTTTAAGTTCAAACATTTGTAAAGAATTTTTGTTAACTTAACCCAACTGGTTCTAGCCGAAGGACATACACTGAAATGTAAAGACTTCCCTGAATCTTTTCTGAAGTCATTTATGTACTGCCTACACACTTTTAAACAGTTTGAAATAACTAAGTAATAAAGATATAAGATATTTTATAAAGCGGTTAGCTCTTAGTTGGTGACAACACATAAGAGCGCATTTATTTTGAACTATTGGTTGCTGTTTTCAAATAAACAGCAAATAGCATAGAACGAAAAAGAAGCTCATCACGATAGTTGACGTCGTCTGTGAAAGTGGGTCGATGGAATTTATTTATTTCTGGTCTACGCCACGACCAGTTCACTATCGTCCTTCTCATCTCATCTCCCCCTCCCCCCTTCCCCCCTCGCCTCTCTTTCTGTTAGCTTTTCCATTTCTCCATCGCATGCTGTCGTTGTTGTTGTTGTTGTCGCCTTTGCGTTTAATTAATTTTGCTTACGCTTTACTTGCCGCTTCGCGTGATGCTCGAGGGTAAAAAAGGTGGTAAAGCTTGGACCGTCTCCATCACAAAAGTGAGCGGTTCGAAGACCCAGATACCCTAAAAATGCACCTCATTGACGTCTATGTCTTTTTCCATAATTATTTCCTATGGCTTGCATTTGGTTAAGTACGAAAAAGTTTTATAAAAGCGTCAACTCAAGAAAGTTTTATATATATATTATACTTCTTTGCAACATACATTTTGGGCAATTTTAAAATATATCAAAATATATCAAATATTTTACATTCAATTTGCCTAATTATAAATTATATACTTAATATGTCAATAGCAAATCCACTTTTCTTCTACATATTCTATGTCGGTAACTTAGATTTCTCAGCAAAAATTGAGCAAACATTATTTTTTAATATTGCATATAAAATTGGTATGAAATGTACGCTTAAGATAAAAATAAATTGTGTTTTAAGACTTTCATCGTCGCTTATCCACTGCTCAATTTTAAAGCCCGGTTTTCATGTCTCTCAGCAACTAGTTGTTGGTGGGTAATTTTGCATACCGACTGCAGGAATGAAAACCTGCATGGGGCACTGCAATCACATATCCGGTAGCCACGAACCTTTGCATCTTCCGCCGTTTATATTCATGTGGAGGATATTCATCAACGATACATCGTCGTCGGCGTTCAACTCTGGATTCTGCACATGGAAGTACCCCCATCCCCCCCTATAATCAACATCCCCCCCCCATCCAGTGTTATCGTTCATTAAATCCTCCACCTTAGAACCATAACAACAATATCGAAAACAGCGGCAATAGCAAACGATAGCATTCCATCCATCCAGCCATTCTGCCATTCTGACATTCTGCCATTCTGCCACCCCCTTTAGTATCCACTTACCCTGCTCCACTTTGTCTCAACCTTCCAACCATCTATCCAGCAACCACCCACCCACCATTCACCCACCATCATCATCATATAACATCCTCCAACCACCAGAAACCACCCACCACCCACCACCCATCAGCTACCACCCACAATGGGATGGCCCGCGTTTCTTTGACCGCAGAGAGCGAACATATTCCTGGTTCCAGTTGGGGGTTTCGTGCTAGGATCCCTGGGTTGGGTTCCTATTCTGGTGTATCCGAGTGTCTCTACCATTAATGTGCTGCTTGAGGGCCCAGCGGGGGCTGTATAGGGGTGGCAGTGGGTGGGTTTGGCTCAAATCAGTTGGGTTTTCCGTGGTTCGAGGCTGGGGACTTTTGGGATTCTGTTTCGTGTGCGGTGCTCGTTGGCGCATTAAGCACACAGTCGGCGACACAAACGAGGCTCACACAGACATAAACACACATACACATACACATACACATACAAATACAAATACAAATACATACACTCATCCACACTCACGCTCAACGCACACACGCGCACTCGCACTCGCACAAAGACAATCGCACAACAATTTTGTGCTTTTTGGCGAAAATTCGCAGAAATTGGCGACATGGCGTATACGAAATGCGAATTGGCAAAAGGCAACGAAGGAAACTGTGGTGTTCTATGGGTATGGGTAGTGGGAGGTAGGGGGTGGCGGGGTAAGGAGGGATGGCATAAGGATGGTCACAAGGTTGGGGAGTGAGATACTATCTATTGTGTGTATGTGTTCGTCTGTGTCTGATTACAGAGACTGTGGCAAATCGCACTGGCACAAGGAGATGCAAAAGAAGAAGCTGCTGATTAGTGAGCGAAAACTTACGAGTGTTCAAGTGCCGATGCAAGGATCTTTTACCAGCCCAACATTCTAGGTAATTGGATTTCCTAGCTAAAAATATGGCAAAGTGATCGACTTAAATATCATTTTATTTGTTGATTATGATTTAATCGAATTTGATTTGCTCAAAAATTAAAGATCTATTCGTCTTTGATGTGAGTTCCTTATGAACAGCAGTCAAATACTTCTATAACCTTTAAGATGGCAAAAACAACAAATTTGGATATAAAATATCAGGACTTTTTGGGTATTAGGTTAATAAATAAATTAATTAATTATATATAACTATTTATCAAAAGAAAAATGCTGACTATACGAAATAGTTAAGATTTTAAGTAATGCGCGCTATTATGTTTCACATTTTTAAAAACATTTGGCTTAAATATTTTCATTTCTAAAACACAAATGATAAAATAAGTACCTTTGGTATTCGAAAAAGGGTGATAAAGGATAAATGTAATAATTAAAAACGATTTTCTAAATTATAAATGATAAAATAGTAAAATTCAGTACTAGTTTATATTAAAAGTTTGTATTAATTATTATTTGGTAAGATCGTTTAAATGATGAAATTAATGTATGTCAAAATATGAGAACACGAAACAATATAAAGGCTGTGCAGGTGCTAGCTATTTATTTTAATTTGTATTTCAATCAAAAAGATACCCAGTAACTACAATTCCTGGTTTTGAACAATTTCAGTGAACACTATTTTTTTTATGGCTGTCGAACTGTCGGAAATTGGTCGACACTGAAAGCCCCAGCCAATCTCACATGTGGTGCAACGTGTTCTCTAATGATCGAATGGAGGTTCCATGGCCCAAAGGGACTCCGAGTGTGAGTGTGTGTGTGTGTGTGTGTGTGTGTGTGTGTGTGTGTGTGTGTGTGGGTGTGTGAATGTGTGTTAGCCTGAAAACGGGTTCCTTCTTGTGGCATTCGCTTCGTATGCCAGCCAATGCCAAAGGAAGAGCGCGATAAAAAGGAAGAGGTGGAAACACAACTGAGATTCAGACATTTCTGCATTGGCATTTTGCATTTGGCCAAGGATGGAAAAGGGGAGGGAAATGGGGATGGAAATGGGGAATGAGGATGGGAAAACAGGGCCCATATTCAAAGCGCCAAATGGCGCGCTCGACTGCAATGCAACAGCAGCAACAAAAAGTACGAGGCGTGGCAAAGAGGCGGGGAAAAGGGGGCGGGGATGTGGCAATGTGGGGCAAGGGAAGAGAATTCGCGACGCATTCACGTTGCAAGGATCCGAAGGAACCTCCCGACCCCTATCCTTCCTACCTCTCCTCAATACACTCAACAAAAAAAACTAAATATATAAAAAATATTTGACTAAGTCAAGTCATAAACCAAAATATGAACAAATAGTTATTTTTTAAGTTGCCTATTTTGCGGGTAAGAAAAAAATGTAAATTGTTTCTTGCCGAAATACTTTTGTTTTTGAAACAGACTCTTATAAAATTAAAGAAATATTTTTTAAAAAAATCAGATAGAAGTAACATCAATTAGATATATATATATAAATTCCTAATTGCACAATCTGATTTCGAATGTGATTTCATGTCTGATTTTGAAGCCATTTGAACAGATCTCAAGAACCTATGTAGATCTTAAGTGGAAAATTTGACCTCAAACGATTATGTTTCAGTGGCTGCTAGAAAATGAACTAATAATCGCACACAATTAACTTTTAGCTGTTATAATTTTGTTGGCTAAAAGTTTTCTATATATATCATAGAACTGGTCCAAACTCCAATTAAGAAAAGAAGACTGTTCTTGATTGACGAACAATGCAGCATTGTTTTGAAATTATTTTTTTTTTTCGTATATCCCCCCGTGTTTTCTGTCCGTGTAGGTTATGTTTGTGTTTGTGTTTGAGTGTGTGTGAGTGTAAGTGGGCGATTGGCAACATGGCATGCAAATGCAGACAGCAACAACAACAACAACAACCAACATCCACCGACCATGTTGCTTGAGTTTGCGCCTGTGATTGTGAGTGTGTTGCTTTTTCCGCTTCCGCTGACATGGCGGCAGCGAGACTACACTGACAAAAAAAAAAAACAAGTTAATCCAAGTTAATCTGCATTTTAAATGTTCCAATTCATTTTTTTATGATTAATTTGAATATTTTCGGAATAGATTTTATTATCTTTTAATTGAAACCATTATAAACCAAATATTTGATTACTAAATCAAGCAATATTATATGCATTGCTTTTAATATGAAACTAAACAATTTCGTTTTTTTTTTTGTCAGTGTACGTGTCGGTGCACAGCGGGTTACGTTACGGTTCCGACTGCCGGAATATGCGGAATATACGGAATATACGGAATATACGACGGAATATGGTCGAAATGGTGACTACGGCAGCAACATGAAAGCTCCGTTGCATGCAACCGCATGAGTACCGCATTTGTGCCTTTGTATCACGCGGCCAAAAGGGGTTGAAGATGGGGTTTCGGGGGGTTTCAGGGGGTTTCGGTGGGGTTTCGGGGCTGATGAAGTGGTGGGGCGGCAAGGATGCATTCGGGCATGAATCGCTTTTACATGGATCGCTTTTATACCGCTCCTTCTTCATCTTCTGCCGCGCCACTTGAGCCACCCCACCCCCCAACAACCCCACCTCCGAATACCCACCAAAAAAGCTGTGTGTCTGTGCGAGTTCATATCTGCGAACAACTATCAACAATGATGGCCAGCGAAGCGTTGCCACATCTCTCGCTTCCAGCCGATTCGGCTCCTTTGTCTCCTCTTTTTACCCTGGTTAATTAACAGAACAGGATGGAAACAAGAAAGAGGGATATAGTTGCATTCCCGACTTTTAGATACTCGCTCCTCAATTATTTTTCTCGCGTATCACGGCCTTCCCTTATCCGATTGCGTTTCCCATTTCCCATTTTCACTGACATATGGTACAAGTTTATGGTTTCTGGTGCTCGGACTACTTTAGAAACCAATCAAAGAACTATCTAACCCTTGATATAGGAATAGTTTTTCCAAAATGTAAGGGGAGATCGAAATATTGCATTATTTTGACAATTGCTTAGGACATTTTCGTTTTTTTTAGCTGTGTGAGTCAAAATTGTTTTCATTTACAGATTTTATCTATTGCATTGTATGCGAATACTGGACAAATAAAACAAATACCAAATACTATTCCTTAAGTTCTTAATCTTCTAATCATTAGTCGTAATGATGCTAATCACGAAATTGTGCAATTTTTAGTACTACCCTATCCATCAATTCTTTTGATAGAGAACACTTTTGTTGGCAAAAATGTACTGAGGCCTAACAATTCTTAAAAACTGCGACTAACAATATTTTTTGTACATAGATGAATTTATACAAAATTATCGCACGTTTAATCTAATTGTGTTTTGGCCATGAAATTGTGTAAGCCATTGTAAGCAGCTAAATATAATTAAGCTTTGCAGTGTCTAAGCAAATATCAAAATAACCTGTTGCATATGACTATATTGACCACCAATTTTTTTTTTGGAGCAGTTATTGGGGTATCAAATTGATAAATCCAAAACTTAAGATCACTCTTTTGATCATTTTTTTTTGTGTCAAAGTGAGATCTATATTATATTTCTCACGGATCAAATATAGGCAAATAATTTTAGTGGGTGTGAAGAATAAATAAACTGCCAACAGTATTAAAGTAAAAGTATTAATTAAATACTAAATAAGATAGCAACTATACTTTAAAGTATCTAAAACTGTTGTCTAAAACTGTTTTTTTTAAACCACTTTAGTTTTATTTGAATACTTTCCTGGTATTAAGTTAATATGCAACTTGTGAGAAATTTTTCATACCCAATAGTTTAAAATTCATGTAGCAACAGTTTAGTTTCTATCAACATTTTTTGTTGGCTGTAGCTCAGCTCTTTTCCCCAAAACTGATTATATGTTATAGGAAGTCTACTCACTTGTTCAACCGATCCGTATCGTTGTCGGCCAAGTTCAGAAGGTAGGCGACGAACTCCACGTCGTTTTTGAACTGCAGCCGGGTGCGCATGTGCTCCCACTTCTCGGCGTTCTTGGTGCCGATGTAGATGTTCTTGCTGTAGTTCTGATGGCGATACTTGCGCCGCTCGCTGGCCGCACTGCTGCTGCCCCCGCTTCCGCCGCCACCGCTCCCGCCGCCGCCGCCGTGTTGCTGCTGCTGCTGCTGCTGTTGCTGCTGGGCATTCTGTTGCTGTTGCTGCAACGACAGCGATGCACTGGAGGCGTTCACGCCCATACCCATTGATGAACCGCCTCGGGAATTCCCACCGCCGGTGGTCAACAGATCGTTGCTGCAATTCGTGCCCTGACCGCCCGCCCCCAGGCTACCGTGCGTGGAGCTTAGGGCGTGGTTGCTGTTGTTGTTGGTGGAGAAGCTGGTGTTGCTGTTGCCGCCGAGCAAGCTGCTGGGCGGTGGCGGTGCAATGGGCGTGGCATTGCCTCCACCAGCCATGTCCAGGGCATTGGCATTCTGCTGCTCCAGCTGGGCACTCAGCTTGGCCGCCGAGGCCGCCGCTGCTGCTGCTGCTGCCGCTGCTGCCGCCGCCGCTGCCACGGCGCTCATGTGCAGACCGCTGCTTTCGGCGGCGGCAGCGGCACTGTTTAGGTGGGCGGAGGAGAGGGTGGCGCGACTGTCCTCGTCCTCGTCGTCCTCCTCCTCGCCATCGTCATCGTAGCAGGCGGCCGAATCCTGTTGCTGCTGCAGATGTTGCTGCTGTTGCTGGTGCTGGTGCTGCTGCTGCTGCTGTTGCTGCTGATCGTGATGGCTGGTCGGGAGGACATGTCGCAGGTCAGTGGGCGTGAGGTCGTGGCCATTGCCCTGCTCCTCGTCCTCCTCCTCATCCTCGTCATAGTCGTCATCCTCCTCCTCGTCGTCATGCGGCTGCTGCGATTGTTGTTGCTGCTGCTGTTGCTGCTGCTGCTGCTGTTGCTGTGCCTGCAGGTGATCGTCGCGATCTCTTGACTTGTTGCTGCTGCCGTTATTGTTGTTATTATTGTTGTTGTAGTGCTGTTGCTGCTGCTGCTGCTGCTGCTTGTTGCCGTTGTGCAGCGCACTGACCGCCGCTGCCACGACGGCCGCTGCTGCAGCTGCCCGTTGTTGTTGCTCGGCCGCCAGTTGTTGCTGCTGCTGCTGCTGGTGCTGGGACACTGCCTCCTCCTGATCCTCCTCCTCGTCCTCTTCGTCCTCCTCGTCGTCCTCCTCTTCGTCCAGGCTGCTTTGTGAGCTGCTGCTGCTCCGACTGCTGCTGCGGCCATAGTTATTGTTGTTGTTATTATTGTTGTTGTTGTTGTTGTTGTTGCTGCTGCTGCTGTTGGCGGTATTTGCACCATTGTTGTTGTTGTTATTGTTGTTGCTGCTGCTAGTGCTGTGCGGCATTTGTCCGGCCGAGCCAGCCGAATTGTTGCTATTGTTGCTAATGTTGCTCAAGGCTGCCGCTGCTGCTGCTGCTGCGGCCGCTGCTGCGGCGCGACTCAGGAAGGGTGGGCGTGGCACCAGTGGCGTGTCGGAATTATCGGAACTATCGTTAAAGTCGAACGCACTGAAATCGGCGGCATTGGCGGCATTTGTTGCACTTGCTGCTGCTGCTGCAGCGGCTGCTGCTGCTGCTGCTTGTGTTGCTGCTGCACTTGGATTTCCGCTGCTTGTTTTGGACATGCTGCTGGCGTCGCTGCCGACGCTAGCGTTGCTGCTGCTGCTGCTACTGCAGCTGCTGCTGCTGCTGCTGCTGCGACTGCGACTGCAGCGCTTGTTGTTGCTGTTGACCGCTTGTCGCCGCTTGGTTGTTGTTGCTGCTGCTGTTGCTGCTGCTGCTGCTGTTGCTGCTGCTGGTGTTATTTTTAGTGTTGCCTTTGTTGCTGTTGCTGCGCTTTGCCGAACGCTGCTCAGTTTTTGCTATTTGTTGTTGTTGCTGGCGCTGCTGCGACGCGAATGGTTGTTGTTGTTGTTGCTGCCGGGGCGGTCTGTCTCCGATTCCGCTTCAGATGGCGCCTTGCTCTGCCTCTGCTGCTGCTGCTGCTGCTGTTGTTGTTTCTGCTTCTTCTTCATTATTCAAACACACAAGTCGCGCGTGCGACCCACTACACTTTTTGCTTTTGCTGTTGCTGTTGCTGCTGTTGCTGATGTTGCTGCTGTGCTTGATGTTGTTGTTGCATTGCTTTTCTAGAGCTTTTTCCGCTTGTATATTGCAGGTATCTCTGTTTTTTTTGTTGTTAATATATTTGTGCTGTTTTTTTGGGAAATATAAAGGATCCGCGTGGGGGGGGTGGTGATTGAAGAAATAACTGAATATCTACCAGCAGCGCTGCCGCTGTCGTTGTTGGCGTCGACGCCGACTGCGACTGCGACACGAAATAGCAGTATAAAAAAAAAAACCGTTCGCCGAATGCCACTCGCTGAAGCTCCCTTTTTTGGCACCGGGTGGCAACGCTACGACAGGATTTTTTTTTCTTTTGTATTATTTTTTTTCTATGCGCCCAACACTTGCATACACATTGCTGGGAATGTTTACTTTGCGAACTGTTCGTAGTTTGATGTTTTCTGGTATTGACCTGGTGATTAAAATTTTGCTTGTAATTCAACATTTGTCATTTAAATATCAAGGGGGGGTCCTGTCACTTATAAATGTGTCAAAGCGTGTGTTTTTGTGGCACATCCTTAGCTTGTGACTTGATTCTTGTGGTCAAGAGGGAGTTTGGCTTGTTATGATACGGCTGCTGCTCGAAGTATCCTGCCACACACACAATCTTCCAAAGACACACGCACACACCCATCGAACATACGGTTGCGAGTTTTTCAAAGACTTTTCCTCAAGTTTTTTTTTTGCTTTGTTTCACCATGCACTTACGGGAAAAAAAATAAACAAAAATTTTCATGGACAAGCATTTTATAGCTTCTTTTTCGGGGAATCGACTTTCAGGCTGCTTAGATATTTTGTTGTTATTGTTGTTCGATAATTTCGTTACTATTTCATTTTTTTTTTTTTTTTTGAGGACAAGGGTGTGCGCGTGTGTTGGTGTATTGATGTGACACCCCAAAGTGAGGGGGGGGGAGAGAGAGAAAAGAAAGAGGAAGAGAGAGAGCGCGAGGCGGTGGCGGTTTTCGCCTTGTGGCGAAAAGGGGGGAGTAAGGGGTGAGGGGGTCGTGGGGGTTGAGGGGGTGAGCTAGACGCCTCGCCTTCTTCTGCTCCTTGAGCCTTTCCAACTGCTGGCCTTTCTTACACACTTTTTCACGGTTTTCGCACTCGAAAATAACTTGTCAAAAAAAAGCAAAAGGTTAGCACACTTTTTAGCGGTTTGCGGGACACTTTTTTTTAATTATTTAACTGCTTTTCTTTTTTTTCCTCTGCCTCTGTTCTTGGGTTTTTGTCGTCCGCCGTTTGTGATTAGCGATTTCTCTGCGAGCGCTCATATGCCGTTACTCGCTGGTCGCGACGGAATGAAGGACTTTTTATTTATGTGTATGTCCTCGCCGCAGTCGCAGTTCACGGCAGCGACGTCGACGGCGACGGCGTCGCCGGCAGCGCCACTTCCTCCTGCGCACTCTACGTTGCGAAAAAGTCCTGCGAAGCCGCCAAAGGCCCCCCACACTCACACACACACACACCCATACACACACACACACACACACCCATACACTCGCCCACACTCGCAGGATTACGGAGAGACTTTATCCCTCTCTCTCTCGCTCATTCACTCACTCACACACACACTCTCTCTCTCGCAGTCGAAAAAGCTCGCTGAAGTCGCGAGCGTTGACGTCGTGTCCTGTCGCTGTTTTTGATGTCGCGAGTCCTTCTGCCCGCGTGTGTCCGTTCGTATGTGTATGTATGCGGGTGTTCCTGCCAATGTGTGTGTGCACTCGCGAATTGAGATGACGACGACGGTAACAAACAGCAAGGACTCTGCTGGTGGATACTAGTCGCGATTCCACTGGCGAAAAAAATACATCTAAAATAGTTGGAAAGAAAAAAATACCTTCGTAATTGCAGAGTTATCAGCTGCTTCAATTTTTTCTGGGCAATAGAGTTGCCAGTATTTTCTGTAACATTAAGGAATTCTAGTGGAATCGGACCTGGTACTAGAAAGTACTTTTTTCTTTCAAAAGAGCAATCAAATAAGATGAAGAATTTGAACGTAGAAAGTAGTTTAAGAAATACTTTAATAAGAGAAAGTCTACTCGAGCACTTCATAAGCACCTTTATTTTAAGTTTTGTAAATCAATTAAAAATCTGTAGATATTTTCTGACACCCAATTTCATAATGCTTTTAAATATTTAATTTGTTATATATTTAAGTTTTTTTAAAGACACCGAGAACCATCTAGAAAATCATTTAAATCTAAATATAAAATATTGTGATTTATGAATTGTATGTTAAAAAGATTTACTTCATCAGGTATTTCTTAAGTTTTCGAGATAAAACCTTTTGTCCACCAACAGAGTGCCTTATCATTTCTGATTAAATTAGCAGAGCTAACATCAAAGTCATTTAAGATATTATTCAATTGATATTAACGTTGATATTGGATCAGTGTATGACTTTTGCTGCTGCGAGTGCCATTGCTACACATCGACATCTGCGCCAAGTTCCGTTCTCAGCCTCGCACCCGTTCTCTCTGGTCATGTCCACCAACCTGCCCCGCCTTCTCACACACTCACACACACACACGCAAACAAACACACAGGCACTTATACTCAGATAGGCACGTATTCCGCCCCCTGTCGCTCCAGCCTTCGAGTCCCCTGTCGGCGTTATCGTTGTCGTTAGTGCCACGACGGCCGTCACACTCAGCTCACTGAGAGAAAATTTAATTGGAAGTGGCCATTATTTAAGCCGTCATAATTTAGAAAAGTTTGAGTCTGCATGAACTACGATATCGGAAGTGGAAATTTAACTTTTGGTAATTATATATATATATATAACATATATGTAAATCATCAAACCGGTTAAATAATAATAAATTTGTACCTTTAAGTGTGTAAGTTTAATTAAAGGTCCAATTTGAATATTGTTTCTATTTATTAAGCCCCTATTTACAAACAATATGTAGGAAGTGGCCAGGTTCAGGGACTATTAACCGTTTTTAACTGTTTTCACAAGGTTTTTCAGGCCTTGAAAAAATCCTACTTACAGAAATGTTTGAATTTATTTATCTAATTATTATTTATGCAAATACTTGTATGTGATAATTCATTTTATACAATAAACTCTTTAAATGTAAAAAACTATTAAATCGAATTTATTGTAATAAATTAATAAACGAATAGCTTTAATCTTGTACATAAAATTGTATTTAAAAATTAAATGAAAATGTTTTCTGAATAATATTTATTTGACAATTATAGCAAGGGATTGCGTTTTTAATGTCAGTGTGACAGGACGCAGAGGCGAGTGGCAGGAGCAGAGCGAATTGGCGCCTCCCCCAAAAATCCATGCGAAGCCGCCCGCCCGTGCCACTCCCACAGTGGTCATAAATCGAATTTTTGTTTATGTGGTGGTAAGGCTGCTGCGAAGCAGTCGCACCCCCTTTGCCGCCCCCTCGCCGCCCCCTTTTGGCCACCCACCACATCGCACCCCGCTGAGTCTGCAGCCGACATCCTGTCATTCCAACAGTCGCGGACGCCGACGTCGACGTCGCTGCCAACGCCAATGGTTTACGGTTTGTTGTGTTTCGGTCCCACCAGCATGGGGGTGGTGGGTGGTGGGTGATGGGTGGTCTGGATGCAGGTCCTCCTTGTTTCCTTGTCTGTGCGGGTGGTGGTTCTGCCGACCGCGACGTCGATGCCTCTGCTGGCGTCGCCTTTTTTGACCGCCTCGCGCCTGCGTCACTCTCATTTATCGCTCTCTCCGGCTCGCTGTTCCACTCTCTCACCCGCTCTCTCTCAGCGCCTGCTCTGGTCCCATCTCGCTGCTCAGCGCCCCCCAGTTTCATCCTTTTCCACCACACCCCTCATCCATCAACAAAACGACGAGCTCAGCCTCAACGTATGCAGCGAATTTTTTCCGAGCTTGTTGTTATTCTTCTCGCTGGGGGTGGAAATTCCTCGTGTCCATGTCCTCCTTCCTTATTTGTGTGTGTGTGTGTGAGTGTGTGTCTGTGAGATGTGGATGGACAAACAAAATGTGCGACTGTGACGTCACTGGTGTCAGCAGCAGGGATGCAGTGTCAAATCAACATTACCAGGGCTACTGCAAGGCGTTTACAGTAAAAACAATTCAGTGAACTCTTCTCAGATCTTTACAAAAGTAAAGAACATACGTTTCTTTAAAAATATTAAAATGTTTAAGCTTGTTTACTAACGATCTTAATTATTTTGTAAGCACAAAATAAAAATTTTCTTTCTCTATTCGGTGGATGAGTAAATTGTCGTTTTGTTTTTATTTGTAAGAATTAATCTAAATTTTGAATTTATTAGGTTATTTTAATTCAGAATCTTTACAATAAAAGGTGAATTTTTAATTTTAAAATAGAAACAAAAACTATTCTAATATGAATTTTAGAGGATCTACGGTTTGGTAGGTATAAAAAGATTGTGAACATGTCACGGTGGCAGGTGTAATACTGTTGCTCTTTTACCGACTCCTTGCTGGAGAGAATAGTAAGCTTTAGACCTGCGTATTGTGCCACCTCAATAGAAATCATAACCGTGATACTCGTTGGGCTAAACTCGCCACTCGCTAAGGATTTGAATTCACAAAATTATTTATAAAACGACTTGTTTATACAAAAAAAAAATAAAAGAGCAAACAAGTATAAATATTTGCACACATTTTGTTTTTGAATATTTCAACTAAAGACTAAATTTGTGTTGTTATATTATCTCTCATACTATGCAAAGTTGAAAGTCATCTAAAATAATCAAAACTTTTGTGCTAGTGTGACCATTCACTCAAGAACAGTGTAGCTTACCGCAGTATCCTGGTTTGAAAATAAAAGAAAACTCTGACTATTAGAAAATATCAAAATATACCAATATCATTTAAATGGATTGATTGTATGGTTATTTTTGCAATAAATAATTGAAATATTAAAATAAATAGAATTGCTTTTTATTATGTTATTATGTTATATTAATCAACTTTAATAGTTGGATCTCACCAGTAACCTTCAATTGGATGGATGCTATTCGATTGGGGTCTATGAAATCATCACAGTTTCCTCTTAGTATAAGCACTGTGGTTCTATGGATCCGGTAATGTTGCAGACGGCGGACACCAAGCGCAGGTACTGTATCTTATGCCAGGCAATAATGTCATGTCCAAGGTCCAGGATACGTCGGGAGGTGGCCTCGATGCCCGGAAGATACCTCAGTTCTTTTTTCATCAGCTTTCGTAGATAGTCGAGCTCAGTCTCCGTGCTAACCTTTTCCATCAACACAGTAACGAGTTGGGCAATCTCATCGGTGCTGTTTCTATAGCTGCAACAGAGGAACTTCCATTAATGGCAGTTCAGTGCTGGTTGTAAACGATGCATCAGCTTGCATTCATCTTAGATGCATCGTTTACCACCATGAATTTAAGCTCGATGGTGTATGATGTACCCAAGTACCCCCTACAATTTAGTGATTGCCTGGATGTTGTCCACTAGGTATCGTTTGGCTAGGATGAAGCCCAAGGGATTCTGAGCCATTGCGCTGAATATAAGCAAAACATCGCCCTTGGGTAAATAGCGACTACCGAAGGCCAAGCCGAGCATTTTGTCCAGTGCCCAGTTTTCGCGGCTACAAGTGAGGGCCCTGAGGATGATTCCCCGCTCCTCAGCCACATTCGATCGCGTGTACAGACGCCTTAGCAACGTCCAATCGGCCTCTGTTCCATATCGGATGGCGGTGCAGTAGATCGTCTCGCGTTGATCTATCGGAATGCGATTGCTCTTGAGGGTCAGACCGGCGAACTCCTTGAGGGCCAGATCCGCACAGGGTCTCATGTCCGTTTGGCAGGCCAGCATCAGGATAAGCCCTTTAAGGTCCAATTTGTTGTTCTTTCCAGGTGATCGGGTCCGCGGGTTAAATAGCTCATCGAACTTGGGCTGCAGTATGCTCCACATAAAGCTCTGCAAGGTAAGGTTCAAAGTTCAGCTTGAGTATTTTAAGCTTTAGTCTACTTAAGTGTGCTTTAATTGTCGATAAGCTCCATCTACATCACTTACAAGTACCAACCTTTTTCTTTATCAGCATATAAAGCTTTTGGCATAGAAAGTTAAGTTAAGTTCAGTTCCCATGAAGCTTTTTTTGGTGATGTCGGTTAAAGTTAATACTTTTCAATCATATGGCACAGAGTTAAAGAATTTAGGTTTTTGAAAGTCATCATTTGTTTGAAATCAGTTAGTGAAAAATAAAATGCAATTTACGTAAAAAATAAAGATATAATAAGTGAGCTTTTTCTGGATTGAAGTACAATCTTTTTGAAATTATGAAATAACAGGCAAATTTTAATAACTAAAATCTACATTTTGTACCAAAAAAAAAGTACGAGTTTTTGAGACTTTTAGTGTGTCGCTTGTAATATTATTTTCGGCTTGTTAATGATATTGAAATCGTTTCACCACAGATCCGTTTTCGAGCTATCGAAAATATAACTTTCAATGCCATTAACTGAGCGCCTGGTGATTCGTTTTTTTCTCGTTTTCAGATCGGCAAACGACATGACATGATGTCTTAATACGACATTGAAAAACCGACTTTTTAGTTAAGGTGGATCGACGGTACCTCTAACTTACCTTAAAGACAGAGATTATCGGGGTGTTGTGGAGGGTGCGGTGAAGCCACCTCAGATTCCTGGCCGCCGCTTGCCACACGATGAACTCGTCCTCCCGCTGCAGATTTTGCAGGAAGCCGAGGGCCAGGTCATAGGTCACGACCCCGGCGCCGGCCAGGCTAAGGACATCACTCACCAGCTGAGCTCGGGTGAAGCGGTCGATGTTGCTCGCATTCGGACCGGCCAGTGCCTGGCCAATCAGCCCCCAGTTGCGGTCGTCGTAGGTGACGCGGCAGGGCGTGGTCACCCGCAGGTTGAAGACCACCCAGTCGTCGGGCGGGGCCACCTCGGTGAGGACCAGCGGACGGGCGGGCCGGTGCGCCTGGCAGGTCAGCCACTCGCTGGGCAGCGCCGACACCCAGCTGCCGCGGCCCGCCGTGGTGAAGGTCAGCGGCACCCACCAGCATTGGCGGCGGCTTATCGGCCCCGACCTGGCGCCTCCCATCCGCGGGTTGCGCAGGAACCGCTCCTGGGTCACTGTCACCCGCTGCGTGGCGTAGTCGCGCACCACCTTCACCAGCGGATAGCCCGGCTGCAGCGTCCACGACTCCATCAGCTGGCTCACCTGGATGTCCTGGCGCAGGCTCATCTGGCGGTCCGACTCCTCCTGGAACGTCTTCCACAGGAGCGTCTGGTTGGAGGCACCCTTCTGGCCGCGCCGTATGTACAGTCGTATCGCATTCACAAACACCTGGAGTCAAATACAGCGGCGGTCAAAATAGTAGTAGTGGCACACTGCAAATTGCTCAAAAACCTACCTTTAAGGCATGGAAAAACTTTTTTTTTTTTTAATTTGCCATAATACTAACTTACCAATAATAATAATAAATTTTTAATAATTGCCGTAAATTCACTTTTTAGTACATTGTAGTAAATGCACTTTGTTTTGTAATAAAAATTATGTTAAAATCAGATTTTTGTTTAAAATAAAATGTTTAGTTTTATAAATGTTTTAAAATATTATACGTATGTTAAAAGTGAATTTTTATATTTGCACCATTTAGTTTTTCCTACTAGCTTCACAATAAAATTAAAACAGGATTGCTTTTAAGCTTTTTTTTTGCTTAATATTTTCATAAGGTAATAAACTGTTATTATTTTAATCACAGGTTTATGTAGGTAAAATTATATAATCATATTAGATGTTTGCTGAAAGGTTGAATTAACTCAAAAACTAATAAAACCCATTTTTGTATTTTTATTGTGAAAAAAAAGAGAAACAATTTGCTTCAACTGTACTTACGATTTTTTTATAAATCAGTTGAAAGAAATTGCTTTCTTTTCAGGGTTTTCAATTAACTTTTATTTTCTGTGGAGCACTTGATTATTTATTAAGCATATTAAGATTAACAACAGCGGTGTTACTCTACTCTCTACAGGTTTGAAACCATTTAAAATGGGTTATGGAAATATTACTTAGCATTCGTGCATCGCAATCTTCCCTTATAAAATATGACAAGCTGATTTATTAAATTGTCTTTGGTGCTCCTTAATTGGTTATTAAAAAAAAAAGTTTTCGTTGAATCTACACTGACTTTGTGTTTACACTGACCTTGTGATTACCTTAACCTACTCACCTGGGTTCCGATGAGGGAGTGCAGCATGCGGAAGAGCAGAGCTGACTTCTGGTAGGCATGGCTGTCGTCGACGGCGGACTGGGTGGTGTGGGCGAGGCTCACAGCCTGGGCACTGGCCCGCGAGTCCTCGTCGAGGACGTCGAAGCCCTGCCGCACCATGGCCAGCTCATGGAGTCGCCACGTGGGCTCCACCTTGTCCACGGCGAAGCCGGCCAGGTAGTCGGACAGGCCGTAGTGCAGCCAGTAGAGGGATGGACTCTCCAGGTCGGAGAACCAATGGTGGGAGAACTCCTGGGCCACATGGCTGGCCACCTGCTGCTTGGCCATCGCCGTCGAGCCCTGCTCGCTGTAGAGGAACGCTCCCTCCGGGTAACTGACCAAGCCCATGTGCTCGTGGCTCTTGGATCAATATAAACATGCAAATAAAATCGAATAAGATACCTTAGTACAGTTTCTATTTCACTACACACCGAAAAAACATTTGTTTAATCAACATAGCCAAACATTATATCAACTATTAAGCAAAAGTTATTGTTATTAGTTGTCTTATTTTGTGTGCCATTGCATAGTTATAGTACAATTTAGTATTTATGTCTTATGTTACTATTCAAGTATTTTGTTGTTTAAAAATGGATATACGGAATTGTAAATTGTCTATAAATAACTTCCTTATAACCTAATCCAAAAAAGAATTTGGGAAACACAAAGATAAATAAACAAATAAATTGTGCAGAAAAAGAAATAACTTTTAAAATCTACTATTACAATTACATATTATAAGTAAACTGATATTTTCATTGCAATTACCTATTTTGTATCAGTTGTTAGAATTTTGACCATTAATTGGTTGATTTTACATATGTTTTTTTTTTTCGGTGTATATGTAAGGAGAAACCTACCTGATAAGCGGTATCGGGCAGAACCAGCTGGTCAATCTTAACCGACGGATACGGCTTGCCGAAGAGGTCCACAAAGAAGACTATGATATGGGGCGCGATGCCGATGGCGTAGGCCCCCTGATCGGCAATCCTCGGTCGCAACCAGGTAATCATCTCGGGGCACTGTGCCAATCTTGGCGACTTCTGTCCCGTGAACCGATTGATCGAGAAGGCCAACTTCTGGACAGACATCGGCGGAGTCTGGTGGAAGCTTGTCCACATGTAGTTATCCCTCTCATGGCTGCAAAGTGAATCGAGAAAGTTATAAGTCCAATTTGGCCAAATATCGCAAATATATTTTATCAACAGTACATTTTCTAATGCTTTCAAACATGCAATTATTCTATTAACCTGCATATAATTTAAATTTATAAATAAATAATGTATAAAACAAATAACAAATTTTAAATTACTAACATGCATTTTACATTGATCTTTATTTTATATTTTTTTCTTTCTCACATCATTATATTTTTGTATTGTTGTTTGAGCTATGAAATCAGTTGTATTATTTTCCCATAATTAATATTTTAATATTTTTTAATAAGCAAATCGAGTTTTTTATCTTATGTTCATTTAAATAACATTTAAAGTAACAATAGTATGTTTTTTGACCTGCAACTGGGGGTAACCCCTTAATGTTTTACGGCTCATCTAAAACTGTTCCCCAAAGAAGTCATCGTGTACCAAAAATTACCAAAATAATACTAATTATTCCTAAAAATAAGTTTTTAATTATTTTTTATATAAAAGTTTTTTTTTTTAATTGGCACTGTTCGGCCTTCTAATGTTTTAAATGTGCGGCTATAATATCATTAATATAATTTATAAAATATATGTAAAATATATATAAAATATATATATAATATATATATAAAAAATATATAAAATATATATATAAAATATATATATAATATATATATAAAATATATATAAAATATATATATAAAATATATATAAAATATATACTCTATATATCAAAACCCTTGCATAATTTTTTGACAAAGATGAGCCTGGTCTAAAAAGGCTATTATACACAGAGAACCTTATTGTATTAATTTTTTCAATTGTTTCAGTGTACTCACTCGGAGGTGGCGCGCACCCGCGTGTTGCTCACCGCATTGGTGTCCCTCGTGTGGGCCAAATTGAGGACGAAGGGGCTGAGGAGGGTGGAGTCCTCGAAGCAGGGAAAGACGGTGTTGGCCAGATTGGGCGCCAGCTGGCTGGCCGCCACCCACTGCGGATGGCTGCTGGCGTCGACGTAGCCGGCCACAAAGTAGCCACTGGTGCGGGACAGCTTGCCGCTGAACGCCAGCATCAGGCTGTACTCCTCGCCCAGCCAGAGCAGACTCTTGAAGTGGATGCCGAATCGCTGGTGGCGCACGTCATGCCACAGTTTGCGCACCGCCACCCGGCCGCCGGTGTTTTTGCGGATGAGCCACACTTTGGGGTCCACTCGCAGGCCATTCGTGCTGAGGACAATGGTGCGGGTTTCGCGCCACACGCGCACCCGGATGGTCAGCTCACCCTGGAAGGTACCATGCAGATTCACCTCGTCCACCTCCGTCAGCAAACTGAGGTTGTAGTGCAGCGGTCGCACGTCGGCGGCGGTGCTCCATTGGCTACGCGGTTCGATGAGCGGCGGGCTACCTGAGCGACGGTAATTCCTGGCCGGTGCTGCGTTCAGCAGGCACAACTGCAAGACAACCAAGTGCCAGATCAATCTCACCATTATTGCCATTATTGGTTGTGGGTGGCGTAGGCGAAAGGTATCGGCCGGGTGGCCGAAATTCGACACACCTGATCGCATTTGACGGGCATGAAGAGTGACGAGTACAAACCATCAACAAAGATGCGTCATCTTCATTATTATTGAATCTATTTAAGAGTCATGTTAAACCTATGTTAAGTAACATGAACGTAAGAGGATCTCTCTGAGAGAAGAGAGCGGAAGCAATAAGACATGTTTAAATAAAGAGAAATTCAAAGAAAAGTATAAAGAATAAAGAAAGAAGAGAATGAAGATTCGAGCAGGCTGTGAAAGCAGTGTTTCCGGCTATGACTTCGACTCTTTGAAAGTTCACAGAGATTTTGCCATCACTTCCACACACAACAACAAAACTCACACACGAACATATTTCAAAAATGGAAAACTATACTTTAGGAGAATTGCTGTGGGATGGTGCCCTCGAAATCGAACCATTTGAATATGAAAAGGGCCACCAAGAGGATTGCAGTTTCCTCGATGTTTATGTGAGCTTCCTATGGACATTCGTCGCCATTTACGCTCTGTCCAAGCTGACCCAATTCTCGGAGCGGTATTTGAGCCAACGTCTGCTGGCCCACAAACACTGCGGCGATGTCCGCTCCATCAACAGCGAGTGGGAGCAGACGCTCCAGCTCCAGGAGGAGTTCCGATGCCAACTGCATGACGAGGTGCTGCAGCTCACCGAGAAGAACCTCTGCCTGGAGAGCATGATCGAGGAACTGCGCGACTGCAACCATCAACTGATTGGCCAGAATCGTATGCGATCCGTGGCAAAGGAACAGGTCTGTACGGAAAACCACGTCATCTCTTATTGCTTGACAGTAGAAAATTAAAAAAAAATTACCCCCAATGTTAATCTTAATCTGAAGCCATAAGCTTTTGGATAAAGTACATATGTACATATATGAAAATCTGTTTAAACACACAAACTGTTTGCTAAGCATATCGCTTTTCAGTGGCATTTGTTAGTAGTTTTTAGCTTATGAAAATATTTATTACAAATTAATTAATTAGTTATTCGTAGAGATAATACTATAAACAAAATGAGCAAAGATTTATCGGAAAATGTGTTTAAATTTTCAGTTCAAAAATTGGTCCCATATCAAAAACATATTTATTACAATACAACAAAGTGAACTTTGGCTTATAGTCTTAAATTGTTATAAAATCATTTACCTCAGTTTATTGAAAAGTGAATTAATTTTAAATTTAATTAAGTTTAATTTGTATAATTAATTTTATTATAATTTTATTAAACCAATATTAAAAATTATTTGAAGTTAGGTAAAAAAGTTTAAGTTAATCTCGAAACTTTGTTTTTTTTTCTCATTTCAGAAGCAATCGTCGGTCCAGTCAAATATTTATATCAGGAACAGCTATATCCACCTAACACGTCAGGTGTTTGTGAACGATAGACAAACTGACCGCAATGTACGGAATGTCGGCGGCGAGGATCTCAATGGAAGCCCAATGGAAGCATCCGAGGAGGGCCTGAATGTCTGGATGCAGTACCTGAAGATGCGCAAGTGCTACATAGGGTTCATTGCCGATCCCAACTTGATGGCTCCCAGCGGTTCTGGTCACATGCAGCCCGTTGTAATGACCACCGAGCAGTTGGCCAACTTGCAAGGTGGGTGTTTGTGCACCTTGCTGAATTGTGATAATCTCGTTTTGATTGTTTTCTCGTTTCAGGAATTGTCTAGTGGCTTGAATTCAGTTACTTAAAGCACACGCACATCAACGGTTAAGTCGCTCAAATCGGAAAAGGAAATATCCATAAAAAGTAATTAAACTACATATATAATGCTCGAACAATTTTTCAAGATCCACAACCGACTGCCCCTCATTTTAGTCATCAGAAACTTGAGAATACTTACATAGCTGTTTTTTCCTTATGGCCGACGGTATTAAATGTTTGATCTTTATGCGATACTCCCATTGTTTAATGTTTATTATTATTGTGGTTTCATCCGAACGCTAGGCACAACACATTAACTATTACCTAGGTCACTGTTTAGTTAATACAAGTATTTGACTTAAATGTAGTTTGATTTAAGCTGTACTAATCAGTTTTAAATTTAAATTTATTTCTGAAGGAAGTGTTGTTAATTTATGATGCAATTAAGTAAGGTTTTTGCTTTAAAATATTTTAATGGTTGCATTCAAATCTTTGGCAACAGTTTTTAAAGCTCGAAGGTTGAGCTTAATGTGGGGGTGGACCACCAAGCTTGGAAAAATAAAAGGAGAAAGCTTACCTGTCGCCCCCTGTCGGCCACAGAGAGAGAGTTCAAACGCTGCACCCTTGCAACCAGCTGAGCGATTCGTGGGGTGGATTCCTGCGCCTGCTCGGAGCTGGCTCTCTCTTTGGCCCGCTCTCACTTTCGGATGCTCTCTCGTGGTCTGTTATTCTCCCGCCTGCGAGGTTAACACGTTGCAAATGTCAAAGGAATGACTTCAGAGTGGCTTTCTCGAATGGTTCCCCAGTTTCAGTGTGTTCTCCGACTTTGGTACCCTCGACACGGTGCGCACACAATCACGCCAAAACGGCAGAAATACAGATACGATAATAAACAATACCCCAGGCCCCAAAAAAAACGTGGAGATAACGCGAGTGCGCCAAATGCCAGGGATTCAATTGCGGATACATATTTCAGAAAATTTTGTTCGATCGCTAAAAACTAAAATTGAATTTCCTCCGTAAATTTACGGTCCATAAACGCGCGCGTGTTCGCCTGATTTGCCAGTGTGTGTACGTGCGTGTGTGCCTGTGTGTGTACTGGTTTGCCTGTGTGTGTGTTTGTGAGGTGTACTCGGAGAGTACTTATTATGTAAAGTGCTCGTCTTATTGACAGTTGACAGTGGCTAACTGAGCTGATTTCCATGCCGATTGCCTTTGACCAACTGCCTAAAGTCGGGCATCTCCAATTTGCTAATTAATCGAGTGCTTCCGCACTTAAGTATGCTCCACAGTTTTAACACACGCACACACACGTCGTGACGTGTAGCAACATGTCTTTGCCTATCGCACTTTTTCCCAGCACTCAGCGAGAGCGGAGAGAGCCAGATTTGGCTGCACGAGCACGAAGCGCAACCACAATTTATAAATTTTTATTATTTTGAGACCCCTCTCCGCCCTCGCCCACGTTCAATCGCTCTTTTGCCCTTCGAAATGTCAAAATATTGCAGACAAAAGTCTGCTCCGCACAACATTGCCAGTCCGAAATACAATAATCCCCGTTAGTCACATGTTTTCCAGCAAGCTGTCAATGGAAGGAGAAAGGGCGAAGTGGTGTTTGATGGGTTTAATCGATTAAAATATCTTATATTTGAGTTGAGGAGCCTAAGAAAAAAAGTGAAGTATGCATACTCCAGTTATTTGTGAATAATTTCTTTTGGTTTTCCAAGTTCAGAATTGACATTGCCAGACTCGATTCGATAGCTAATTCAAATTGACCGCCACTTGTCGCGTTCCTCACATGCGCCACTTTCTCTCTCTTTGTGCTCTCTCTCACTTCTCTGTTGACTCTCTCAGCAGGTAATATAACTTCTGTTAACTTTGACAGCTTAACACTTTTACCATTGCCATCAGGCTAAAAATTTATTGTTTTAATTTAGGGGGTCTTCTACTTTTTAGGGAATTTATTATAAAAGTTTTACTGCATAGATTAAAAAAGCTTTTTTTATTAAAAGATACATGTGTTGTTCTGTAAATTTTGTTTTTAAACTTGAAATTTTTCCAGAACCTTGAAATGTGCATTTCATAACACACATATGTAAGTCATAAGTTAAAAGACAAAGTTGTTGAGGATACGGGGCCAGAAAAGCTCGAGTTAATTTAGTTTTTATTTATGATTTTTAAATGACATTAAGTGCCTAAAGAGGAAATATAACAAATCAATATTTTGACACAAGATTAAATTCCAAAGAGTCGCATTGAAAGTTGTAGATGACAGATGTTACGGCAGTCAAGGGTTAACTTTAACATGGCGCCAACATAGCCAATGTTTGCTTAACAGCGCAGCTTACAGAGGTGCCGCTCTCTCTTTTCCGCTCCTGCGCTACCGTCTCTTTCGCATTGCTCAGTTGCTCGGCGGAAGAGCACGTCCTGTTTGGCTTAGTTTTTAGTCCTTCTTCGAACGCGCTGCCCACGAGTCACGAGTTCGCTAGTACGCAGGGATTTGATTTCCCACTCCCAGTCACATACGTTTTTTTTCCAGTGCTTGTGCGCGTGTGTGTGAGTGTGTGCAAATAGGAGCAGGAGCAACATAACACAAACACACGCTCAATGCTCAATATACAAAGTACATATTTGCATGTGAAGTGAACTGCTTACAGCTGTTCGATTGCAACTCTGCGCGATCTCCATTTCGGTTTAAGAGTTGTCCATTTGAACCGTTAGTTGTTAACATTTAACGCTAACCGATTTGCCATCCAGTGTGCCAGTGTGTGTGTGTGTGCGTGTGTGTGTTTTTATTTTGTCTTCTTGTGTAGTTTATATTTTTTTTTGTGCTTCGACTGTTTCGCCTGGCAAGTTGTATAGCTCTCTCGCTCTGAGTCAGCAGCGCCTGTCAAGCGGAGGGTTGTTTTTTTTTTTTCCTGCCGCTCCCCTTCCCGCCGCCAAAAACTTCACTTCAACCACTTGCCGTCGTCGTCGACGTCATCGCAGCCATACAACAAACCACCGAGACACCATCCACCCACACACCCACTCACCCCCGGTCCCATCCCCATCCCCATTCCAATTCAGTGTCATTGGCACTCGCTTTTAGTTATTCAGTTTGCCTTTGAGTTTTTGAGTTTTGCGCTTTGTCTGCGAAAGAAGGGAAAAGAGAACAAGGACAAGCAAGGCAACATGGCAAATCAGTTAACAATTTTATGTTGCCTCAATATTAAGCATTCCGAGTAATAACAATACTGCACAGACAATAAGTGAACTGAGAAAACGAGAGCTGCGAACCACTGAAAAACGTTGCACCCACCACCGCCTCACCGCTCGCCCGCTTGTTTAAAGCTAATGCCACCACCGCCCACCACCACTAGAACTACTTCCACTACAACCACTATTGCCACTATTGCCACCACCATCACGACCATCACCACCAAGAACCAATAACCAAGAACCAAGAACCACAACCACCAATTACCAGCCTCGACCTGTACCACATCGCAATGAACAAAACCAAAAACCAAAAATCAAAAAATATCAAATAAAGAAAGAAAGAAAGGCAGAGCCCAGATTCCAAGTCCACTTGTCCAAAATGTCGTCAGTTGAAAAATGTGAGCTTCACCAAAAATGCATTACTAGATGTTCGTTCCCGTAATATGTGCATATAGAGCATCCCCCTAGAACCTCTAGCGTAGCTCCTCGAAGAATTAAACGCCGTATCGCCCCCTATTTGTCTTGCCATGTTTGCCACTTTAGATCTGACTCTTGACAACAAATATTTAGATCACACTTCAACTTTGTTTTCTATTCTTTTCCATCTACCTTTAAATACTATAAATATAACTATAACTGTAAACTATAGCTATACTATCGGTCTGCCTCTCTCTCTCTCTCTCTCTCCCTCTCACACTCTCTCTCTGTCTGTCTTTCTTGTTCTGTCTAGTTAACATGCCTTGAACTTTTACCCACTCTGTTAACTTCTCCTTTTAAACAAAACAAAAACAAAAACTTTACCACTCAACTCTTTGGAAATTGGGATGCGAGGACCGACTGAGAAAAGCATCTGAAAAGTGAAGTTCTCAAGATGGTTCCTGTGCGTTGGCACTTGAAAAACTTCCACTGATTGGCCGGAGTCCCGATTGTAAATAAGCCCCCCGATCCCCGACTTCCTTTACACACTTGCGATTTGCCTGCTTCTTAGCCAAACCTGCATGCCCCGAGAAGTCATCAGCTAGTGGTTATCGATTTATCATTTGAGAATGCCACACAGAACCACAAACACACACAGAAGACTGAAGAGATGACTATTGGGTCGATCGGTGGATCAGCCACCTCAGAAATTACAAGCCACACACACACACACACTCAATATATTGTACGTTAGCCCAGTAAAGTTACGTAATTTCCGTTTCGTTCCTCGTTTCTCGTAGTTCCCCAGTTCGTTTGATGCGTTCGTTCCTTCGTTCGTTCGTTCGTTCGTTGTGTTTGCCAAGTTCAATTTTATTGTACTCGAATTCCCAACTGGCCAATAACCAGATTTGGAATCCAGAATTCGGAATTGGCGAACCAGAAGCCAAAAGCTGAACAGTAACAACAACAGCTAATAGACAAACAAACAACCAGCAGTATAAATCGAAACCTTAACCCAATCTAAATATATATCCATCCAAACCTAAAGTGTGTCTAATCACCAATTCTTAATGTAAAATTCTCTTTAAACTAAATAATCCAAACACGAATCACACAAACCAAAAACCAAAATCTAAACCAATTTAATCGAATCGAACCGAATCGAATCGAATCGAAATCGCAACCCAGGCAAAACTCACATTGACCACCAAGCATATGAGCTTGTGGCTAAAGGTAAGCTATGAATAGTCAATATTTCAATGTTTATTTGTGAAACGAAATCCTGTGAGCGGTGGGATTAGTATTTTCAGTTAGGTGGCCAGTGTATTTGAAATTTAGTTGTGCTCGACATTAAACAAATAAAATGTGAAGCTTAGAAGATAAACTATATGCCTAAATCAGAATTGTTTGATTATTTAATAAGTTATTAGAAATGTAAACCACATGGTTGTCTTTAAAATTAAGGTCTTTTTAGAAAAACTTTTTAAAACTTGTTTAAAACAAACGTGTGTACGTCTGTATTTGGTAAAAGTCTTATCTTAGAAATGTAACAACATTTTATTTTTTCTTTAAGCGCATGTTCAATATACTTTTTTGAAGAACGGCCCGACTTACTGTGTAACTTATTAACCCTCGTTCGTTAAACAAATACCCCACAAGCAAGTTGGCCAATAATATCTATAGTTTTTATTGCCTCTGCATAATGAAACCGAACTTCTGCGAATGAGCCATGAATAATCATTGCTGGCATAAATAAACCCTTAAAGCTGCAGCTGGTCGTTATATCGGAGCAGTAGTCGGTTCGGGAAATCCCCGCTTGGCTCAAGGGAAATTCCCTCTAAATTATTATCTTCGGTCCCTTCCTGGTTCCGCATTGATTTGTCGCATGTCCGGATGTTGTCGGCTCTGCCCCCACGTCTTGCCACATCCAACTATTCATTTTCAATTATCCTGTTAAATTAATGCCTTGTACTCGTCTGTCTCATCCTCGACTTCCTATCCAGCACATCCCCACATATCCTTTGTCTGCGGCATGATTCAGCTATCTGTGAAAAGTTTGTTTTTTCGCCCCGCCGCTTTTGTTGCTGGCGACAATTTCAACAGCAGACGGCGGCTTGGCTCTAAAATATTGGTTATTAGCATAACCAAGAGTCGTGGACGTGGGTGTGTGTGTGTGTGTGGGGTGTATGTGGGAGTGTGTGGGGGTGTGGGACTTAGGGGTCTAAACTGGAAGCTGACAAAGCAGCCAACGCTTTTTGTTGCCTACTTTTTGGGGTCAGGGACTTGTTTTGTCAGCTTGAGCGAGGCAAGCGCCTAGCAAATTGCCACACACACACACACAGACACACACACACACACTGAATCGAGTAAGGGAGTGATGGAGGAGCACTCTGTGTATAGATAGAACCCGCTTATACATCTATTTATCCGCTACCCACAAGTTGTACGCCCCTGCCTTTTGCCCCTTCCCTTTGGCACTGCATCTTTTGTGTTGTGAATCATAGCCAAATGCATTCGACGCCGCGCCATGGCCAATGGGGCTGACAATGCACAAAGAGCCAGGAGAAAGATAAGTGAGTGCCTCCCCCAACCAGTCACCCTGGTTGCTGTCGTCATCGCTCTCTCATCAGCATCAACGGCGTCATCATGCTCATCCCTTCCAGCCATCCAGCCAACCAGCCATCCAGTCATCCTGCCATCCTGCCATCCTGACCATCCCAGACATCGTCCTCGTCACCATCCACTGACAATTCGGGCTTTTGTTCGATCCGTTCAGTTCAGCGAGAGCTAATTTAGCGTTAATCGAAGTGTATTTACACTAGCTTCCACGCACACACACAACGCCCCTCGCTCTGATTGCATTAGCTTGATGGCTGCATTGGCTTGTCACTAATTAGTTTTCAATCCTTCAACTCCTGCTCCGATCTACTGACGCTCGTCAAAAAAAAAAAACAAACCAACGAATCCATTTCATTGACTTGATAGTAAATGACTTAACGAGGTTACAACTCACAGGAAGTCATTGGCACTAAAAAGTAAGGGTAAATCGTGCTTAAGAAAGGCATTTTATGTGCTCATGTCTCCATGAGTAACCGATTGGTTGGTAAATGCAAGCAACGCTTTTTGTTTATTTGAATTCTCCTACTTGCTGTTTAGGAAAATCTTGTAAATGATAAGTAGAGAACCCTATTTAAGCGGCTTATACACAAATAAAATTTAAGTTTCAAGTTTCAATATACAAAGAACATTTTTTAATCCGATTTGCGTTTAAAAGCAACATTTTTTTAAGCTTAAAGTGCTTAGACATTCTACTAATAATATAGATTTCCCAGAGTTCTCCGTGTTTCTTGCTTAAAACTTTCTTAGAACTTTTAAAAAAAATGCACTCCCAGAAACCAGCGAATTTGTATGCACAAGCTTATAAAAGTAATTTCATTGTTTTAATAAAATGAAATTGCACGTCGTCAAAGAGGTCGGTTCGCTTGCAAATATCTTGACAATTTATTATAGGTAAAGTACAAAAATCGTTTGTGACTTTGATTGAGTTGTTTCACAAACAGGACTGCAATTGTAGATGGATGCTAAATCGGTGAAATAATTTCCCAGCTTTTTGAATTGTCAGTCGGACCATCAAGATTTCCATTCAACAACTACGAGTCCCTTTGAATGCTTTGAGTGTTGGAATTGGCTCGACTCCTCGACTCTCCGATAATGCCGATTGTTTAGCAACAAGCCGCTTGTCAGGCAATGTCCCAAAGCAATCTAAAGTGACTGAGCAGCTCGGTCCAATCTGATGCGCTTGAAGGTCTCTGTTTCGACAGTCGCAGTGCTCATTAATTGACCGCAACAGCTGGCGAGCTGAACTTGAGTTTCCTTGGTAATTGGACCACTTCTTCTGCATCTCCAGCTGCCGTTTCCTGAGCACTCGACTGTGCAATCCTCCGTTGTTACAATGCAGGATGGGAGGGAGCAGCATTATGGGTAGCTCCATTAGTTTGGGCCTTCATGTTTGACTTGGTGCACAGTGAAAATACGCGTTGCAGTTTTGAGCTATTTATCAAACAATATGTGTAAGTTCAATTTAATACAACGAAATGGACTGCTTAAGAAAATTTAAGGAACTAAAAAAACCTTAAGGACATAAATAATTATGTTTAGTTTGTACAACATTGTACAACAATGTGATTATTAAAGTTTTTGCCAAGTACTACGAATAAGGAATGTCTGGATGCCTTAATGTCTTAAATAAAAAACTTTTTAAGATGTCACAACGAATCGGATTTCCGGACTAAAAATATACAGCTACAATTACTTAAGAAACTTTTAATAACTTGTATTAGTGATTTCAAAACCCAATTGATTTCTATTAAATTAGAATGTGTTTGAATGCACAATTTTGTTTGAATTTGAAAATAATAGGAAAATGCTATGTGTTACATTTTAAATAATCAAATTCCAAAGATAAAGAGCCATTTTGATGCAAAAAAAACTACCGCTTTGAAGTACAATTCTTGTGACATTTTCTCGCCGTGCTCGGGCTCGAGAATCCGCATTTTATGCTTCCTTCTAACAGTTTTTTTTGTTGCCATCGTGTGCGTGCGAAATCCGGATGTTGGCATATGGCTCGACGCAGCTGTGAGTGGAAAAATGTTGCGCATACGACCCGTGTGCCGACGCCGAGATGCATTTGTGTGTGTGCTTAACTAATATGCTATGAACGCCGCTTCGTCACGTTGCAATTGTCGGTGTTGTTCCTTTTCCTGTTTCGGTTTCTGTTGCTGTTCCTGCCATTGTTGTCCAAATGGTTCGCCACATTTGTATGGTGATCCCCACCGCTTGCACTTCAGAAAGGGCTGGTGCAATAAATGTTTGCAATGGCCAAATATTAGGCTAGCTGCTGAGCCAGTGGCCTTGTGATCGTCAGTATGGCGAAAAATACTAAAAAGTAAAAAGAAACGAAACGAAAGAACTGGGACATCCTGAGCTTTGTAAGCACCGAAATGGAGCATACACAAAATAAGCCATCAACTTGATGCGATTAGTGCGGAGAATAGCAATTGAATGAGAGACCTATTTTCGAGTTATAGCTACTGATACAAGTATTTTTTTTTAGTCACAATCGACCAAGCAAAAATTTGGAAAGAGGGTTTTCGAATTCTCTACAACATTCATTACGAAAGACTGCACATTTTAAAACATCTTCATAAGTGATTTCAAGACCCTAGTAATTGCTGACCAAATGCTTTTTCTATTTGATTATATTTCCGTGATGACCTCAAACATATTTACGCTGCGATATATTGCTGCATTTGTGATCGCAGTGGCATTTAGCCCGTTTGCGAGGATATAAAACCTGCTTAATTTCCATAAACCGGGCAACGGTTACGAGTCCTGCACCTCTGTATGTGTGTGTGTGTGTGCGACAGGTAAGTGAATTTATGTTGCACACGCTATGCGAAACATGCCACTGCATCTGGCCATAAAAACGTGACAACAACACCAACAAGGACAGCTACGGTGGGAGCCAGAGTAAATAAGAAGCCGAGCCCCAGGGCTACGAACATCCTCGCACATCCTCGCATATCCTCGCACATCCTTGCACATCCTCTCAGCAACAGCAACAGCAATGTCGTCTGGCTGGTCACACAAAACTTTCAACGTTCGCAACCGAGGCGAGCCAGAATTATTATTTATTGAGGTGGATCCTCTGCCTACCTGTGCGCCTTTGTCCGTCTGCATTATCCCCATTTCCACTGCACTTTGGTCATTTGGCTTGCCATTTCGTTTGCTTATTTCCACACTTGGCGAAAATTCAAGTCATTTCTTCAATTTTCTGCTGAAAACTTACATGGGGGAGTGCCTCAGTAAACGTTGGGGTTTTGAAAAAGGTGTCTAGAAGCAAGGTGTTGAAAGGACTTTCGGACTTAGCATATATTGTTGCTCAATTCCAGCGGAAATTTTTCGTTGAGTGCATTGGCCATCCCACTCTTCCCCAGAGCGCCTGTTTCACTCGCAACGCGCCACGCATATAAATCGTTCAACTCGAGCGGGGTGCACCGTGCACCATATCCATCCCTGCAACATGCAACCGAAATGGGAATAAAAGTTTATGCGACTCTGCAAGTTGTGAAATTAGATAGAAATTGCGAGTTATCCCCGCCACCCCTTAAATCAATTTGGGAACAATTCGAGCCCAGAGAAACCCTGGCCAGAGTTTTAAAATCAAGTTTTGC